GTTATAACTTATAAGTCAAACTTATTGTTTATTAGTACATTATAAAATAAGACTATATATAGTGTCGGTATAAAATATATATGTATACACTATACATTATGTATAGCAGGGAACATAATAGCAAATAGGAAACTATTTTTCTCAATAATATACATTATGATACCTACAATAATTTTTAAAAAATGGATTTTATTTTTCGAGGGTGCACATTCCAAACTTGGGGGTGCACAAGTCCCCTGTGCACCCCCCTAGTTGCGCCAATGTACCGCGGTACAGCCGCGATAAAAAATACATTGCATTGTATTGTGTCGCAATAACCGTAAAAAAATTACTTTGCGTCTCCCCAAAACTTATTCGAAGGTTTTTTCGTGGATCCTAATCCATGTCCACCGATCCCGGATACCAAGCGACGAGAGCCACGGCGGGTTAGGTCTGATCACATGGACATGGGACAACGCTGACTTCAGAAATAAAACTATAAACATATATGACCGTGTTTATTAAAAATATGCGAACAGTGAATAAAATTGAAAAAATAGAATATTCACATTTCACATACTTGACTTCGCGAAGTCGAAGTGAAATGGCATTGTTTTGACGGGTTTATATCGCGATGATGATCGAACAACACGATGTCATTATGGCGTTTGAGTACCTAGATGTCGTCGTGTAGGCGAACTTTTGCGTTTCCAAAATTACACAAAATACCGGAGAAATGCACGACCACTGCACAGCAATTTTGAATTCAAATTAAATCAATTAACATAAACAATGAGAAATTATCCAAATATAAAACGTATTTAATAATTTAAACGAATGCAAATTTAGAATATTCTTCGTTAATGAAGATATGAATGTGATATTGATGCGTCTGTGCCTAATCTATTTGATTCCCAACATATAATTATCATTTTAAATATCGATGTCAAGTGCTGTTATTAAATACATGAGTACATTAAAACACATTATACATAGATATATAAGATTTGACTAAAAATTTATAATTCTTAAAAAAAAGATTTAATGGCGAAACAAACCTGAAACGGTTTAAACAAATTGAACAAAACTTGAAATTTGTATACAATGAACGGCACGTCAACGATGCTCTGAATTACACTGTCGTACTCCCCGCACCAAGTGCTCACGCGCATTCGCGTGCCTACTGCTGTGGTCGTCGAGAACGTCGGACGGCTGCAGTGCCGTACCCGTGCAGGAGTTGGTCTTCCAAACGTTCGGAAAATGAGCACGTTAAGTTGACTACATAGGACAGCCAGCGCTGAGTTCTGAAATTAAAGTGTAAACATAATATTTCTGTATTTATTAAAAATATGTGAACAGTAACTAAAACTGGAAAATAGAATATTCACATACTTGATTTCATGAAGTCGAATGGCATTGTTTTGACATAGGTATTTTATTTTATTTTATTATATAGGCTGGGCACTCTTGCAATAAACATTATATTTATGTGATCACAAGACGTTAGAAAATAATATTATACAATTTCTATACTTACACGATCGATATTATACGTACATCAGGAGTCTCCGACCTTTGTTTACGCAGGGCCGAATCTGGGATCACTTTGACATCGCGGATTAAATTTTTAAAGGAATAGAGAGATAATGAAATTAAAATATATTTTTATTTAGAAAATAAATATTTTTCGATCGATGCCTAAACATGATAACGCAGATAACGCAATTGCGAATAACGATTAACGAAAACCATTTATTTTATTTTAAGGTTTAATATTTTTCTTTACTAGAAATACTATTGATAAATAAAAGTATTTTCAAAACATAATTTCCTTAGTGGTCGATTTGAACAGCTGACTAAACACAATTAGATTAATAAATCGCTAAATGTATGTCTGCATTGGCACAAGAGATGAGACGTCTTAAAGCAGAGATTCCCAACCAGGATGCCGCGAAATTATTTGAAATATATTTTTAATATGTACCTTACTACTTTGTTTATACTTAAGCACTGATAAATAAAACCGAAGTAGTCTATAGGACCTAGGTACCTCAGATTTTAGAAAATAACTAAGGGTACCGTGAGTCAAAAAGCTTAGAATTTCTCTTAAGGCTCATTAGTCATTACTCATTGTTATATAATTGGTAATATGTATGTTTATATTGCGATGATATTTACGCCGGAGAAATGCACGAGCGCTGTTTACAGTAATGATATCGGCACGATGTCGACAGGGACGATCTCAGAAAAATCGTGGGAGGTGCAATCTTCAAAATTGATAATTAAAATTATTTTGACTTTTTGTTGTTTATGCACCCGCAGACCGTAGTACGCATTAATATGTGGTGAATTTAATATTATCAGTAAAATCTGTAACCCTGATTACACCGAGTTATACGGGGCATTAACATAATTCTGCTAGTCGTGCGGGGATGCGTGGGGGGGGGATTCAACGCTATTCAAACATTACAATGATAGGTATAATTTATAAAAATATTATTATGAGTTGACAGAGGAACACAATAACAATGCGGTATATATATAAAAGTTAACTTATGTTATGTTATACACTAATATATTATGTATGTATAGTGTATATAATATATACTATAAATATATAGGTTGTTTGCCCTTATAACGTGATGAAGTATAATTTACTACGTAAGCATAGTATTTAATATATAGGTTTGCCCTGATAACTTGCTGATGTATATTATACATATAAATGTACATTTCGTGCGACTTTGAATGATGAGATGAGTAGGAAGCCAGAGTTTAGACAGGAGTAGTGGTTCGGGAGTCATTGTATTGGCCGATTGTGTAGGGAGGAGGGAGTCACTTGGATTGCGGGGGCTGAAGGTAGCGGGGAGGTGGGTTCAGAACAGGTTATTTTGTACTACTAAAACAATAATAACGATTGATGCAATGGTCACGTTTTCACCACGCGGATCCGGGGCTTCGACAATTGATCAATCCTAGGCGATGGCTTGTATAACAGAGACGACGGCTTCACGTTGAAGCAGTTTTTATCATCGTCCTTTTTTAATATTTGCCGGTGTTTTGCCAATTTTTTTATATTATCTGACGCTTTGTATGTTAATGCTGCGGGAGATATGCCAGTTTTGGGTTTTGCTAGTTGAGGTGGATGGATGATTTGCTTTTTTCTATCCGAAGAATTAGGGACCTTTCTGCCCCACGGTATCTGAACAACTTCTGTGAAATAGTATGTAGGTACGATATAATGATATTGGGATGTGTATTATATATACACAACATTGTAGATAATACAAAGACAAATTCAAATGATAAGGTTTGGGTAAAATAAAAAATGAAAATAAATTGAGTAAGAACGTCTTGATATCCGGGGCTGTATTGAGATTCGGAGCCAATGATATTTAATTTTATTTGAATCATATAAATTTTAAAGTGTGATATTTTTACTATACCTCTAAAGAGTGCTATTGTGATCATATTTTGTGAAATAATAACATATAATTATAGACTTTTAGCGACGAATCTTCTGGTCATTATAATTTACTATCATAAAGAATTTTTGGTAACTACAATAAATTATACTTTATTATACTATAGAAAAAAATTTGCATGGGTTATAATATAAATAACATAAATATAGTATATTTTTATTTTATTAACACTTAATTTTTCTGGACTCAAAATAAACTAATTTAAATTTAACATTTTATACAAATGTTTATTGAAAACGTATCCTAAATTTTAGTCATTTGTATAATAATTTGCACTGTGGAGAAAATGTGTTTTGGGGGTATTGCAGATTTAGATAATATGCTGATGCCTAGGAGTACTTATGTGTTTTTCTATTCACTAACCAGCAGAGGCGTATTAAACATTTTAGCGCCCTAGGTGTAAAAAATATATTGACGCCCCCCCCCCCCCCCCAAAAAAAACCATCAGAGTAGAGAGAGGTTCATCAGATAAAAAAATTCTTAAGCTAATAATTTCTTATTTTTTCTTGATATTTTTCGAGCTTAGCGCATAGTTTACAATTTGGCGCATTCATACTACATTATTATTGTCATAGTTTTACTAGCAATAGATTCACTTACCCTGGGAAACGGCATTGAGTCGAATCGGAGGCTTGCATAATCGCGCCAACGGCTTAGCCAGCCTGTTAATTCTAGACGATGGACGGTAGCTTTTTTGTACAACTGAAGAACTCATCTTGGCGATCTGAGATATTTCTAAAAAACTTTTAATTCAGTACTAGATTTATGTATGAATATTTGTTATAATATCGTTTATTTGGTTGCCCGGCGATGACAAAAATTTTAGAATCGATAGTACATTGTATGTTATTACTGATATATTAAATCATTTTCAATAGTGTGAATTATATCATCTGTTGCAGTGGTGCAAGTTGTTTTAGCCAACAAATATCTTGTGTCATGATAATTATGTGCTAGTACTTATATAACAATTGTCAGCTTTTATTACAGGTAAAGTTTCGGATTTACTATATCAATGGGAGTTGGTGTTTTCACTTTTCTTACTTTTCTATTGTACTCGTATTTATAATCAATAATTATATTTAAATATATTTTTTTTAATTTTGTTAGATTCAAGTGTTGTCTTGCGCGAGTCTGTGGGTTAGCATTTTCGGAAGCAGTAACGGGGTTGGTGGATTTGCACATTACGACACGTCACGCGACGGAGGCCATCAACGACGATGCAGTATGCAATTAGGAGTAATATTTAATTTTATTATACCCAGACAAAATACCTTATCGCGCTTATCGGAAAATTCGGAAATAATTTCCGCGCAGTATTTTTATACAGGCAGTGAGTGGTCTATCTCATTTAAAACCAATGATAGTACACAAGAATATTTTTATATAATAACCACCACGAGTTAAAAAATAAATTCAAATAAATAAACATTTAGTATAGCGTGGCAACCATTAATAAAAAATAAATAAGACTTTTTAATCAATACTGAATATACTTTTGAGATTTTATAATAATTATTTTATTTTAAATTAAAAATGCATCAAAAATCTGTAGAACTTGTGCGCCCTAAGCAAAACGCAATCTCAAAATACAAACATGTCAAGAGCCGGTACCAGGAAAAAAGCAGGGTTGAGAAACTACAAGCATATCAATCGAAACATTTTTATATAAAGCCAATTAAAAGAGTAGATTCGAATTCGAAATTAGATAGAACAGAATTTGACAAAAAGAAGATTTTACTGGTTGATAAGTGTTACGCTGAAGTGTTGGATAACAATATGTATTCAAATTTCATAAATATAATTTTTGATTTGGACAACAGACGACAGATCAAAAAAAAAATATACAAAGTGGGTCCATCTATATTGTCCGAACCAGATCTGCTATCAGCCCTACATGATTTGTTGAAGTTAAGCAAATCGCCGATTGAGTTGTTACACGTTGCGTTTATAGTCAACTGGTACAAAGCTAATAAAACGAAAGATATAATAAACCAATGGTTTAATTTGCCGGAGTACAATTGGTTATGGATGACCGAAATTATTATAACTGCTGCTCTTGTGTTAGACAGTCACTCTCACGACTGTGACGGTGTCGACGACAATAGGCCAGAATCTGCGGTGTTTTGGTACGCAGGTGGAGTATTTTACAGCCGAAATGGATGTACAGAGATTGCTATGGAGTACTTCGAGAAGGCTCGAACCATTTCTGACGGCCCTAGCAAGCTGATGTTTCCATCGGTACCTGCAGACTTACATAATGAAATGAGAACAAAATATGATCAGTTTGTTAAAGAACCATATAGCGTGTGGACGTTGGCATGTTTACATCAAAGCGATCTACTCAAAAAAATCGCTATCGATCAAGAGCCGGAGAAGGCGCTAATGACATTACATTATGTCCGTAAACTGCTTAAAGCGTCGAGTGAACCGCACAGTATGCCACGGGTTTTAATTGCGGAAGTGTACTACGAGATGGGCCTCAACTACAAAGCGATCGGTTCAACCGAGCACTCGCTAAATGCCTTCCGTAAATGCGTCAGATTTTCGACAAATGTTCATCATGAACTGGATCTGATGGCAAAGTTAATGGTGACAAAGGCCTCCCAGAACCCGCCGAAAGGCTGGTCATATTTGGAGTTGAAAGAGGAAGCGAAAAAAAGGCTAAACTTGCGTATGCTTGTAAAAACGATTGTGGCGATAGGTATGGCTGCACAAAATGAAGAACGATTTGAAGAGGGTTTTCACCATTTTGGAGTGGCCGAATGGCTAAGTAGAAAGACGAACGAACAAATAGTTGATGCTTTAGATACAGAAATCGCTATATTTAATATGGCCATCTGTCGAACAAAAATGTTCTTTAAAGTATTTCCTAAAGCGAGTAAATGTGAACCAAGATTCCGGATGAAGGGCTGTAATCAGTGGACGCATTTCGAAGAACACAATATGTATTATAAAATAAAAAAGGAAGTTCGAGAATTGTACAATTTGTTCGATTTCAATGATTCAGACGTTGACGTTGACGACGAAGAGTTTTTGGAAAATGAGAACGAAGAGATTTCTATTTCTGATAATGTATGACAATTTTAGATTAAGGATAAGGAGTTTTCGGTAAATCTTCTAGGTTTTTAAGTAGGACTCGGAAGTTGATGCTTTTGCATATTATTTTTTGAACTATTAGATTTATTGTTAAGTGATCTAGAAATTCATTCCAAGACACTACGAAAAACATATCAAAAGTTTATAGTGCATATTTAGTAGTTTTTAAATTTTAGACCATATTTCATAATTTTACAATTTTTTAAAGCATATTTTATAATTTATGAAGATTCAGTATGTACCATGTTTTTAAAATTTCCATTTGATATTAAAATTAATTTTTTTTACCTATTAATTACTAATTAGTATGTACATATATGTCGTAGGTCATATGGATAATTAATTTTTTTGCGAAAAGACTAGGCTCTTTGCAATGGGGTTATTTAATTAGCTTTATTTTTTAATACTAATCATATATTAAATGTAAACTGAACTATTATATTATTGTATTATAGGTAGGTACATTATTTTCTTTTTGTTTATAACTTTGCCAATATTATATTTTGAGTGTCTTATAGTTCACGATCTACTTTTGGAATATTTACTAAAATATAACTACCAACTTCAATTATAACTAATTTCTTATCGCTATTTCTATATACATTTTTCTGCCATCAATATTCCAAAATTCGATCATGGACTATTAGACACTCAAAATTTAATATTGGTAAAGTTATAAAAAAAAGAAAGTTATGTACTTACAATACAATAATATAATAGTTCAGTTTACATTTTACACATGGTTAGTATTATAAAATAAAGCTAGTAATACAATAATAGTCAAATGGTCATTACCATAAAATTATTGTAATTTTTAAAAGGTATAAATGTTGTTAGTCTAAAAACTAAATAAAAAATTAATTATTCATATGGCCTACGACATAAATATATATTTATAAATTATAACTACAGCTAGCTTTATCTAAAATAAAATATTATACAAATATAAAATAAAAACTGATATCGAAATACCACGATTTTTTATAAATACTTTTCTAGAAAAATAACTACTTGAATACTTGATTATTGTATTTAAGTACCACTTACTTATTATTGGAAGCTCCGACTTATATTTAAATATAATTCAACAGAAACGTTTTACAAGTGCATTTTTTTTATTCAAGGAATATTTTTAAAGATATTTTTTTATTATTCCTTTTTATATATATAATTTTATAAAATACTTATGCAAATTAAAATTTTGTGTAAGAAAATAAAATTTAAGTGCATATTTTTATTTTTTTAAGCGCATAAATGCATGCACTAGTGTTTTTTTAAGTGCATTAAGTTCCGAGTCCTACCAATTATAATGATGATATTGAATCAGTAAATTTCAGTTTTGTGAATATCAACCGTTTTTTCTCTCAATGTACCTACCATTCTTCGCATTAATTTTGCCTCTTAGTTCTAATTTCTAATGATTTTACTTGATACTCAGATAGTGATTAGTTTTCTAAGTATTTAGGTTTGTAGTTTTCAATTTCACATTCAGTAAATTCTAAAAATGGGTCATGTGACAGATTCCCATAATTTTCATCTGGTCCTAGATTAGTCTTAGACACTACGTATAAATCGTTTAGATGTTTTAAAAAAACTACTACGTCTATTTTTTTGTGTCAATTGTTCCTATCTTTCTTTCAATATAATTTTCAAAACTTAGCAAACGTCACCATTCATCTACCTACTCTACTTTTGACTTTTTTTTTTTTATTGGTATATAAAGATTTATTTTTTAATTCAAATTTAAAACAATTTGCAACACATCGATTAATTTACATACTTTTCTGCGAAAAATTAACCCGTTTTCCTCCAATAAATTTTGCCAAGATAGAACTATAAAGCTCGACCGCATTATTATTTAAATTATACATCAAACTTTCTGTGTGACGTGTAAGTAAATTTCTGGCATATATAATATCGTTCCACATTTCAAATCTTTTTAATTCATCAACTAAATTATCTTCTCCTGTAAATATTAAAATTAATTGTTTATATAGTTATTTGGTTAGTTGGTTCATTCATCATAGTTCATAATTTTTGTGTAATTACCTTCTTTTGGCTCTTGGCAGAAATACCGTTTACAATTTGCGTGATCGCCGAAAACATAATTGGGACCGTTTACTATATCAGCTTTTAGGATTATTAATCGTATTTCATGTGATTGTGATACATTGGTCTGAGTTTATTGCAGATTATATTTTATAACTTCAGTCACAGCATATCGTAATATTAGCAAACGGGTTAAAAACAATTTCCTTGAGAAAACCAGGAATCGTTTCTCCTTTTGAATTTTTTCTTTTTTTTTTTGTCAAATCTCATAAACGATTTATGTAATAACGCAATAAATGGTTGCTACATTCAATCTCTTTTAGCATACAACCAAACCTATATGGTTTAGCTAAATATGTCCGTTTCATCATACTACTATCCGAGTCACCTAAATAATAATATAAATATAACAAAATTTAATTTTAATTTTAAACTTCCACTTTTAAGATTTAAAGTATATTTTAATATAAAACTAAAATTCGTTCTCCATCAAAATTTTTAGACATAATTTGTTTTGTTATATTGGTAGCTGAAATATCAGTTAGTGTAGGTTCATATAGTAAAATAAAATTGAAAAAAGTAAAAATAATTTATAGAAATAATTTACTACAATTAATAACACTAAAATTAATTCATACAAGATAAGGATAAAAATCGTCAAGAAGTCTTAACAGAAATGTAATCCAACTATCAATGACGTGCAAAAAAGGTATTAGTAGGTACAATGTAATATAATAACTATACATTTTAATTAAATTATTTATATTTAGTCATAGCAGTCGATATTGATCCAATCAATTAGCATTTCATAATGATGAGATATATGGTGTTGCTGATCAAATTGAATTTATAGTTGGTGATTTATTTTTAATTTACCCAAAGTTAAAAGTCGATGTAGTATTCATGTCACCATCATGGAGAGGTCTAAAATACTCAGTTAATAAATGCAACAGTATTGAGTCTATGTGTCCTGGTAATTTTGGAGGAGGTTTTAATATTTTCGACATAGTTAAAACTATAGCGCCCAACATAGCGTTTCATATGCCGAAAACTACTAATATAAATAAAGTAAAACTTATAACCCATGGTGTTAAGTATAAATTAAACTTTATATTATAATTTATCAGTATATGTGGCTGGGAAACGGTTTTGGAAGAGTGGAAATTCAGCAGAATATTATTAATGGAAAGCTGAATTCACTAACAGAATTGTATGGAAACTTCCACTTGAGTAACTAACAGTTGTCAGTGATTATTATTTAAAGCGTTGTTCAAACTTATTAATTTATTATTTTTGATTATTTAGAATAAAATTTCGAAGAACACATGTATTATAAAGTCAAAAAGGAAGTTCGAGAATTGTATAATTTGTTTGGATTCGATTTCGATGATTCAGCGAATGACGATTGATGCAATGGTCACGTTTTCACCACGCGGATCCAGGGCTTCGACAGTTGATCAATCCTAGGCGATGGCTTGTATAGAAGAGACGACAGCTTCACGTTGAAGCAGTTTTTATCTTCGTCCTTTTTTAATATTGGCCGGTGTTTTACCAATCGTTTTATGTTATCTGACGCTTTATATGTTAAAGTGTTTATATGTTTGGGTAAAATAAAAAATAAAAATAAATTGAATAAGAACGTATTGATATCCGGAGCTGTATTGAGATTCGGAACCAATGATATTTAATTTTATTTGAATCATATAAATTTTAAAGTGTGATATTTTTACTATACCTCTAAAGAGCGCTATTGTGATCATATTTTGTGAAATAATAACATATAATTATAGACTTTTAGCGACGGATCTTCTGGCCATTATAATTTACTATCATAAAGAATTTTTGGTAACTACAATAAATTATACTTTATTATACTATAGAAAAAAATTTGCATGGGTTATGATATAAATTACATAAATATAGTATATTTTTATTTTATTAACACTTAATTTTTCTGGACTCAAAAGAAAATAGATAATAGATAATAGATATATATATATAATTAATTTATTACATAATGTACATGGTTACTACAGGGACAAAATTCATCACTGCGTCAAATAATAGTCGATAATCTTTAACGGTTAAATGGAAACTAATAATTATGACGTTAAAATTCATAAAAAAAATAACCCTATTATTATATGACATTTAAAATATAGGTTGCCGTTTGAAAATCAAAAGTTGATAGTGGTTTTACTATTAAATATAAGCTTAAAAAAAAAATAAGATTTTTATATAATTCTAGAAAAGAATAAAACTAAATATTTAAAAAAAAAAAAAACAATTGAAAAAATTCAACACATTTTCAATTATAAAAGAATCACTCTGTATATTATAATGTGTATCATTTTTTTAATTTTAAGTTGTTTTAAATCATAGTAACTATAAATATATATTATACTATATTACATAGCATATTTTAATATATATATTAATATTATGATGTTATTAAGTTTAACAGTTACTCAGCTTATCGAAAGAACATGGTATTCTGCGCACACGACTCCGGTACAGATGCAGAGTGTGACTTTAGATATGTTCGCACGAGTGATTTAACGCATTTTTATTTATGTGCGACCACATTATTTTGGCGAACAGAGTTGCGATGAACAACAATTTAATCTGGACAATATTAAACACCGCAGTAATGTACCTATTTTGTCTATACTGTACGCCGGACAACGCGTAATGAAAACGATATACTATTTAGTACAAAAATAAATAACTTGAAATAAAAAATATGTGGAAACGGACGACAGGCACTTATCGTTAACGTAATAGGTTCTCATGAACAATGTTTTTGAATCGCGACAAAATAATTATCATCGTTATTTTTTGTTTGAATACATAATTTCGTCCGAATTTGAACTTATCTATAGATTTTTAGTATCTATATATATATATATATATATATAAAAAATAATACATGCCCGTATACTATTATTTTTTTGTTTTTAGTATTATATAGAACTACTCATAAGCAGCCTCATTTTAAATACTCAAGTCTTACATTATAAATAGAAAATACTTGTAAAAACATTAAATTAAAATTTCATGTCTTGAACCGTTGGTAAAAAAAAAAATATTTTTTTCAAAAACCATCATGGTAAAACGACAAGACTATGTTATCATTCAACAGTAGTTCATCCGGTGCCCCATAAGGCAGAAATTTATCCCGGTTATTGTTTCTAATATTTTTATTTGATATCGGATCATGTTTTGAATATTTGCTGACGACCTTAAACTTAATCATACTATTGTCCGTGAAAATGATTGCTCTGCTCTTCAAGAAGATCTTAATAGACTTCTAGATTGGTATATCGTACATAAATTAAAGCTTAAAACGTCTCTAAGTGTGCAAAAATCTCGTTTTGTCGGACCAAAAATAAAATTACTTTCAACTATACAAATAACAATATTCTATTCTCAAATGTTACTACCTATTATCTTCGATTTCGGTATAACATTCCGATCTGGCATTATAATTTTCCACTCACATTAATCAAATTTGTTCAAAAGCTTTAAAAACTCTAAGATTCTTAATTAAGACTTTTTATCTTTTTTCGATATTTATTGTCTAAATAGATACCCCATACTGTTCTCTGGTCTGTTCAGATTAAGAATACAGATCTATTGTATGGTGTCCATGCGGTGTCATCTTGCTATATTATAAGAGATACAAAGAAGACTTTTACACTTTATCGATTTAAAAAAATATAAAAAATAATAGAAACTAGGTACTACAATATAAATGATATTCAAAATATCCTTAATCTATTCGCTATAAAATAACTGACATATCTTTCTTCTCTAGATTAATAAATGGCGAAATTGCGTATTTGTTTCAATGTTCCTCAATATTACTAGCGAGCATATTCTACTTTTTATACCAAATCCGCCGCACTAATTATATGTATAATAATCTCGTTGAAAGAATTTTAAGGCTGAAAAATGGATCCGGACTTGATTATTTTTCACTTGTAACTATTTATCTTTATTATGAATTAACCGATTCCGTAATTCTTGTACCTGTCTATTTTAAGTCGTAATTGTAGTATTTAGCTAAACTCGTTATTAAATTTAATGTTGTTATGATATACCTTATGTGTTCATCAATTTAGGGAACACTGAATTTCTCAATCGGATTAAATTGGAATAAATCGATTTTTTTTTTTTTTACAAGCTGGTGGTATATAAATACACATTTATAGATAAATTTAAAAAAAATTATCATTTCGGTATGTGCATGCGTAATAAAAATATTATTTTTTTTTTTAAATAACAACACATATTTTAAACACCATATACGGATAGGCCTAATTTTTTTTAAAGTCATTTTAATGTATCAACTATGGTTCTAAATTAAAAAATTGACTGAATTAAAGCCATTTCCTTTTTAATAAATAAATACAGAGTGGCGAGTGGCGGAACAAAAACAACCACGTTTGAGATAAACGTAACTTTGAGAGGGGACATCGCACGCTATTGCCGAACATCTCATTATTTAGTATGTGACGGAAAGTTTAGTTTCAATGGCGCATTGCAATATTCAATATCGCTAGTTTGCCATAAAGACATTTTTCCGAAACAATGAGTTAATTGTGGCTACTCAACTCGCAATCCGCACGCAATCGATCTCCATTCGCGTGTAGTTGTTAGCAACCGCAAACCTATTTTAAAATGGGTTAAGGATTTTTGGGAACATGGTAAAGTGACCCTAAAGATTCCTAGACGGATGGTTTGGGTCGGTGGTTGGGAGGGAATAACTGTAGGTACGCGGAAAGAGACCAAATCGCGTGCGAATTGTGCGTTATGTAACTACGATTGAAACATTGTTTTGGAAAAATGTCTCTACAGCGAACGAGCGATGTTGAATATTCCTCTGCACCATTGCAACTAAACTTCCCGTCACTTACTAAACAATGAGACTTTCGGTAATAATATGCAATGTCCCTTCCCAAAGTTACGCTTATCTCAAATGTGGTCGTTTTTGCTCCACCACTCTGTACATTTTTACGATTCACTAAAGTGCATAAAATCATTTATAATTATTTATTATTAATTACTTTTTGAATGTATTTACGGTTTTTTTTTTTACGTGTTATAAATAAGACCTATTCAATGAACAGCAAAATCTCTATGTATTACTCCACTTGATTTTTTTTATGGGAAATTTAAAAACGATAATTTACCTTTACAAATATCCACCGGACCAGTCTTGCAGATTTAAAAAATAAAATCATGGTGCCCATGGTGGCTTATAATAACATAACTGAAAGTCAAATAATGTCAGCAACCAATAGAGAATGTCTACGATTTCAGTTATGCGTAGAAAATAATTGAGAAAACTTTGGGCAATTTATTTAATCAATTGTATAATTATAAAATAACAGTTATAATTAATATTTAATAAAAAAATGTACGTAAAAAGATTCAAAAATTAACCAATCATAAATAATTATAAATAATTTTATATACTTGAATGAATCGTAAAAATGTATTTATTTATTAAAAGTAAATGGCTTTAATTCAGTCAACTTTTAATTTAATACCTACCATAGTTGATACATCAAAATTACTTAAACAAATTATATCCACACTGAATAATTTATATCTATAAATAAACCTTCATACATAGTTCAATAGTTAAATAAAAGTTGAATACCAAAATGATTACTTTTTGTTGTCTACCAAATACCTGATAACTTGATTTTTGATTTATAAGCCGATTAGTCCATAATTTTCATTTTTTTTTCCAATCAATACTCAATTATAAATCATCAATATAATATGATATATTTAAAAAATGTCACAACTTTAAACCAATTTTGATGATATTTAATGTTTAATTAAAAAAATTAAATTTATTCTTAAAATTGTATTTATTATATCATATTTATATATGTATATATTGAAATAAATATATATATATATATATATAATTACATTTAATTCCTAGAATTATAAACCTAAACAAGGTAATTGGAACTAGAGCCAAATAGCCAACATAAATGAGTGCTGAAAAATTGATAAAAATAAAAATTATTCGCTTTAATAAGATTATTGACTTAAATATAGAAAAAAGATTTACTAGAAGTTCCGTGCATACATATAAACACTTGAAGACGTATTTGGCTCTATTCTAAAGAAAAAAAAAATCATACCACAAAAAAATTTACAAATATTAATTGAACGCAATCACTTATGTTCATAAAGAAAAAAACAATTCGATAAAATAAAATGAAATTTATATAATATAATATATATAGGTAAAATAAAAAAATGACCACTTTAATACAATATTTTCAATTTTATATTGCTGTATTGTGCCGTAAAAATACATTAGTGTACTTAATAGTATATTTATATTAAAATAATATTATCTTATTCACAATAGTAATTTACATCCTATATATGTATATTATATATATTATAATAAATATAAATATGTATATATAAACGATACGTTTAATATAGATATAATTTTTAACACTATAAAAGAAATGTATAGAAGTTAAAATGTACTAAAACAGCATTTAAAAAATTAAATATTCTAATTATGATAGTAGACGGCATACATTTTTGTTTAATAAATCACGCATTTTATTGTTCATATTAATACCTATAAAATATATACTTCATAAACACCTAATTAGAAATAATGCTCATATTTAGTGTCTACAAAACAATTTGAACTGAATTGAAAAAGGATAAAAGTTGTCATATGTTTAAAATAAAATATTAACTTAAACACACGACCAATTTAATTGCTTCTCTACAGACCATTCTAAGTATATAGTAGATATATAAATGGATATTAAAATGACAAAATTTATAAATTTTTTTTTATTGAACGCATGCAAGTTATTTAAAATTTTTTTCATCCGCACAACTAAAATTACATTTCTCTTCACAAAAACAAAAATATAAATTTGAATATTCGTTGAAATAAATAATAATATACATTATAAATTCACATCTGTTTAGAGTCAACATTATATTAAACAAAATAACTATTATGTTTAAATAGTTTTTTTTTTTTTTTTTTTTTTTTTTTTTTTTATAAAAAAAAGATAGAAATATTAATGTGAATTACAAATTATTTAAATTAATCAGACAGATTAAATCCAATAAAAAATAACTGTGATAGGAGGTTTGCCAATATTGACAATATACATAATGGTAACATAATCAGTATGTAATGTTTTTATTTCTTTATGTGAAGTGTTAGAGAACTATATTTATTACATGGGATGAAATTCAATTGCCCAGAATTAAGTCGAAGCCTATCACCAGGATAGGCTAGTTATAAAAAAAAAATGTGTAGTTACTAAATTAAAATAAACTTGTACCAAAATCATGATAATAACTATCAAAATAAATTTAAGTATTAAATATCTTGCTTAACACTAAACTTTGTAAACACTAAATTATTTTAGCATTTTGATTCGTATCTTATGGGTTTGAGGACTCTTTTTTTTCCTCTGTTGCTGCAGGCTTATCAGATTCATCAGTTGATTCCTTTTTCCTGTAAATACATAATAGAATTTATTGAAAATTTATGATTCAACTAAATATAATATTGTTCTATACCTCTTCTTCTTTCTTCTCTTCTTCGGCTGATGAATTTCCATTTTCAATTTTATTTTCAGTTTTTGAATCTACTTCTTCTTCTGTGGAACTTCCTCCTTTATCAGCTTTAGAATCTACATCATTATCAGCAATACCATTTTCTTCAGCTGATACCACTTCTTCACTCTCTTCTTTTGTGACTGCTTTTGGCCTTCCTCGTTTGCCTAAAGAGAATTTTTTTTGAAAATTATAATATGCAGTTCTGTTAATAAAAATACATATTTGGTTGAAACCATATTTTTTGTCAATAATTACCTTTAACAGCCGGAACTTTTTTCTCTTTTTTTGCTGGAGGTTCATTTTTTAATTTTGATGCAGCAGTTGAACCTCGTGTAGAAGATCTGGTCGTTCTCCTTCCATCAACATCATCAGTATTGTTCAATCCCTAAACAAAAAATATACAAACATAATGAAGATAATATTATTATATTCTTAAATTACACATTTAATAAGATGTTAAAGTTAACAAAGTCAGCTATAAAACATGTTTTCAAACCTTGGTAATCAGCTCAGCTTCAGCATAAGTAGCATTAATAGCATTTGTACGAGATCCTGTATTTCTTTTACGTCCACGCTTTTCACCTTCCTAAATTAATAAAAAAATAAATAAATAACACTCAAGTTAAATTAATAATTAACTCACATAATGTATATTTATAATTACATTATAGTATTAATTATCAAATCATGCTTTCTTGATTACCTTCAAAGTAGGTAGAATATTACACGATTGTAACAAAACTACTCGTAAGTATTGAGTAAATACATAAAATTATCACTAATAAGTAATATATTATATCACAATATGACTATTAATTGTTAATAAATTTTAAGTACCAATTTTTTTTAAATACACATGGGTACCAATTTAAATTTACTGAACAAATCTTAAAAAATTTATTTAACCGTTAAGCACAATAAATTATTAACTGGAAATTTAAACAATATCTGGGAAGCTCTAGCATTTCGATCTGGGATTTTATCTATCAAATTATCATATTATGTTTTATGATTGAATAATAAACTTATTAAAAATAAACAATTCACAGTGGTTTAATTGAATTATGATTTTCTTCGAATTGTATTTATTATCAAGTACTAGAATAATATCTCATGTTGAGATTACATATTATCATGAAGTACTTTCTTCAACATTAAGTAATCGAAAAAGGTAGTACAAAATATAATTAGGCACATAATTCCGAAGAGTAGTCAAGAACACATAATGCGTATTTACTATGTAATATCATGCCTTACAAAACGGACATAAAGGAGAAAAAATGAAAAAATTGACTAAATGTGGAATAAGAACATTTAAGGATTAAAAGATAAACACGTTTTTGGCGGGACACCCGTATTAAATGGGCGCGAATGAGCGGCGCCGCCGACGACGCACAGTGGTACACCACGTACAATAATAATCGGGTAACGTGATATTTTTTTATGCTCATTTTGCCAGCGGCCCATCACCATAGGCGGCCGGTCGGAACCGACGCGCGCGTTTTTTATTACCAATGAAAAAGACGGCGGCCGAGTCGAGGTGAACGGATCTCGCGGTGGCGGCCACACATGCGCGTGCGTAAGCGCTCGCGCGCAAATAAGATCGCGCCGCCGACAGATCATTGCGGGGATAGTAAAAAATAATTATACACAACGATTGCTAGGCACGCCGTCAGACGTTTGTCTTTCCGGCGGCCTAGCTAGAGTCACGCGAGCTACGGGAAAGATTTTCGCACCCCGCCAACGTTAATGGCGGCGAAATAACAAACGGCTGTCGATAGCGATAGGGGGTGGGAGGGGTGAGGGAAACGGTTTTTATCGGACGGTGGCAGAGGCATAACGCTCGACCCTCAAGGGTGAACGCGTAGGGGACGGTAGATGGTTTGCATTTTCGCGCGTCTCGTCGGAATAACGGAAAAGCCATGTTATAATGGCTGGCGCGCGCGCGCGCGAGCCGTTTGGCGGCAAAAGCATATCGTTCGGGCGGGAATACGCGCGGTACTTTACCTGAACTGAAGGTACGTTGTTCTCGGCAGCCACTTCAGACATCGCGGCAGTAATTGTGACGACGGTGGTTGTATTAAGATATCGTGATCGTCGTCTCCGGTCTGGTGGCGCGCTTCGTTAGACGCACCTCGACGGCAATTGTTTATGGTCAATTGACTGACACCGGGACGCGGTCCAGTGATAAACTCGTAGACGTTTAAAAAACAAAACGGTAACGTGGGACGTACGTGAATGTGCTGAACGCGGACAGAGAGTTGCGACGTACGAGAGACCAGTGAGACAAGCTGCGGCTAAAGTTGTTTGTTTATACGAGACGACACGAGTGTGTTGGGTTTTGTAACGAATAATAATGCGACGGCGGCGAATGACATCGACGACGGCCGACGGACCACGAGCGCGGACGATCGGGACGCTGCGGTTCATACCGTAAGATGGCGCTTCAGTCCCCCTCTGGTGTCAACGGTATACGACTACCGCCATAAATAATAATAATAATAATATTATTATTATTATTATTGCTCCATTGTACAGGGGTCAGGGAGCCTGCGTTTGAATCTTTTATAGTTTAGGTATACACAGTACAAACTACAAATCTATCTATGATTGAGGTTCGAGACTAGCATGCTGTATCGGGTAGGGTAAAACATAACTGCAGAGTACAATAATTGTTAATCAAATCGTCAGATTCAAAATCAATTTAAGAAATATCTACTTACTAAATGCAATGTATAGACTATTATAGTGCCAGTGAAGTCAAACGTTAAAAATATTACGGTATAGACCCTAGACATTGTATAAGGTATGAACTATGATATTTACAAATTTATAATATTGTTTATATTAATTTAAATTTTTTACCAACAAAGCGATCAATTTTAAGGGGATTGGTACCTAACTGGGGTAGTGGTGTCGTACGTGATCTACCCAAATAGGCGATCTACCGGTTATTCCGAATTTCCAAATTTCCAAATTATCTTGATAATTTACGACTATTTATTTGTACGTTTATATGACTTCCCTTTTATAGTTCAATTAATACGATAAGATAAAATATACGATAGCCTGACATCCAGACACATCGCCGTCACCAACTCGCCACAATCGCCGTCTCTACTCGTTAGACAATAGTAAATAATATTTCATTATGAGTTCATTTTTAGTTTAGGGTATTTTATAAAAATCTATCATAATAATTTATATAATTATGATATTATTATTATTATTATTATTATTATTAAATTTAATTTTTTTTATAAATATTTATGTAATTGGTTATGACATTATTATATTTTTACGATTCAATTTTAATTTTTTTTATAAATAAGTATTATTATTATGACTTAAAATTGATATTATTATGATATTATATTTTTACAATTATTATTTTTTTATTAGCATCATTATCAAGTAAGAAATAAAAAAAAATACGGAAATCAAATACTATTTTTAGTGGATTTGGGTAGATCGCGCACTACTTAAAAACAAGTTTGGTAGATCGCGTACAACATCACTACCCTAACTGGGAAAAATTAACAAAATTTGACAACTTTCTCGACACGATTTTATAACTTGTTAATAAAATAAATCATTGAAAAAATTAAAACTTTAAACATTTTGAGCTTTTTTCTATTTAAATATACAATTAATGCAATTATTCCATAACAAATAATAATAAAATACTATCATTAAACTACTTGGCAATTGGTATATGTACCTATCTATTAAAGGTATTTACTATTTATCTATTCTAACTCGGGGCTACTCTTCGAATTTGCGAGGCTCAGAGAAATATATTATTGGAGGTACTGATAATAATAACATCATAAGCGATATAAAATATATGTCAAACACATTTAAAAATGTAAATATAAATTTAACAGTTTTTATTTTAACTAATTAATGGTTTAACTTTATAAAACAGACATAAACACAATATAAAAGTAAATAATAATGTTAATTGTATATGTATAAAAATTGAAAAATTAAAAGCTTAACAATCTATATAAAATTAATTTTTCTTATTTTTGCATAATTGCATCTGAAAATGTAACCATTAAATCATTATAATTCACATTTTCGCTGTATAATATTCAATAATATTTTAACAAAGAGGTAACAGGGACGACAAATTAGCTATCCCTTATTTTTAAAATCTTCAAAAAACGTTTTTAGGCTTCTCATAAATTCAACTTCATACTCAATTTTATATTTTTAAATTTTACGCTTTTACTGAATGATATCACACGAGAACGACGAGCACTAGATGAATAAACGTTCAATAATATTATATATAACGCAGGCTAGAATAAATTGTAAGAAAAATGGTAACTGACAATAATAAAATTACTGATTATTGATCAGTTTTGGTTAATCGATGGGCGAAAAATATTTGTGACATAATATTTATTATAAACAATATATAAATATAGCATAATATTTTATTATATTTCTTCAATTTAAAGATTATACGTTTATTTCGTGTAGATAATAATTTACCTATCTATTATATTTTTTCAAGCACAAGACCCTTTACATCAAAGTTGAAACGGCCCTTTTTTTACTATATATTACATAATAGCTATAATACATTGCCATTATTTCTAGACAACAAAACGATAAAGATTGTGGGCTGTGGCCGACTGAAACACGGCATTAAGATTATGTATAATTTAAATACTTATTAGTTATTATAAACCTATTGAATATTTTTGAAGAATTACAACTAAAAGTCGATGACTGCATAAGGTGTCTAAATGTTTCCCGTTGTTTTATTGTTATTATTTATAAGTCTGATAGCTCATACCACAAATGAAATAAATGGTATTGGACATTAAATAATGCAATAAAATACAAACAATTTAAATTATAACTTGTAACGAAATATGTCCAATTAACCAACATTCAGTGCATCAATAAGATGCCCGTATAAATGCATATTATAATGGACAAATATAAGCACAAATTATACATACACAACCACTACAGTGTATAATAAAATTTACAACAATTTAATTTTACTCGTCGCAGTCACGAATATCAAACTATACAATATACATTTGTATGCATTATTGTTGCTTTATAATATAAGATACCATAAATTTTTAAGTTGCATTATTTCTCATCAACGTTTTTTATCCCAGACATTCGTATATACCCAGACATGGTCTGTGATTTTTCATGAGCCGAAGCGCTCAATACCTCAATCAAATTGTTCAGTGTCCTTATATCAATTATAATAAACATACGACATACCTAAATTACGAAGGTCAATTTAAGATTAAGATTATCTTATTAAAGTGAATTTGAAAAATTAAAATGATTCACTGGTGCACTCAGTACCTAGTTGAAAGTCTATGTACAGTTTAATGAATTTAATGATTAGACGTATAGTGACTATAATATTAAATATTAAAAATTGTTATGAGTTAATTGTAATTGTGTATTGTAAACCAATTTTTCAATGTTTTACTTGTGATTATATCTATTATTTTGATAGAATTATTATTATTTTTTCTTTTTTAATTGTATACTAATATTAACGTTAACCCGTCACTATTTCGAAAATGATATGTTACACCTTATGATGTATGTAACTTGTATTTTTCAATCATACGTATATTTTTTAAGTACATTAAGTTTAAGTTCCAATATATATATATATATATATATATATATAATTAGAGAGCCAAAAATAATATATGGCCAGTGTGCACTATATCTACTTCTAAAGTCAGCGCACACCTATGCATATATTAGTATCTAGAGCTTTAGACCAACACCAAAGATATGAGATGTTTTTATTCGCAAATGATACATCTATAGAATTTATTTCAATGATAGTATAACACTTAATTGTAGACATATTATAAATGATAACATATATTCGACAAAATATTTTATGGAATCAATTAATAGAAAATAATTTATAATAAATATATTACCAAATGTTTGAGTGTGTTTGTATCGTTGCAGGTATCTTGCAGCTTCAAATTATCGAAATATCGAACGGGACTCAAATCCTTGTTTTCTCCTTCGCTCAGAACAGTAGCCGGTATAGGTTATGTAAATTACAAATGTAAAATGCATAATTTAAAACATTAGCAATAAATACACAATCAGGGTTGGGCAGTATCTAAGATACATTTGTATCTTGTATCTTGTTATAATTATATGAAGTATCTAGTATCGCGATACTGATTTTTGAGTATCCTACCCATCTTTGTACACAATACGCAATAACTAATTTAACAAGTAACAATTATTGTAAAACACACTACAGAGGTACGTATTCACTGTACCTATCCTCAAACAGTGAGACAGCAGTCAGCACAATACTACAGATATATAGATTCCGGTTATGTCTTGAACTGACGGTATTGACGCTAGATGTTGCAAAAAAACGTAGTTACCTTAATCAAATTAATAATTGATGGTTATTGCAATTTGCAACGTTCAACCATATCATATCTTAATGAAAGTTATTAAAAGCCTATAATTGTACCTATATAAATTAGAGAACAATTAATTTTTTTATTTTTACAAATAGATTAGTAGAAACACTTATGTTTAGGAAATAATTAATACATTCACATTTATCGCATTACCATAAATAGAGAGTGTTAAACAGCGCCTAGCTTATAATATTATTGTATCATTATACCTACTTCCCACAACTAACTATTTAAAAAAAATTTTAAAAGTAAAAAAATAATGGTTTCTTTTGCATAATATCATAATATACGTTCTTATAAGTATTATTAAATATCAATGATTATCTCTATTTTAACGATCATAACTAAAAAAATATTTACCAATAATAAACTAAAAAAATCTATGATATTAAAATAATTGTATTAAATATTAAAGATTTTATGAGTCTATATAGTTTATAATAATGAAAAATGAAAATTATGCTTCATTAAAAGGAAATAATTTAATGTTTTTATTAACTGTATGATATTATGCATTTATAACGAGTAAACGAATTAATGACATAATAACTCAATTAAAAACATGCTACTGCATGTTGTTTTTATTTATGATAATTAATAGTTCTGTACTTTTGATAACAACGTGGGAGCATGTGGCCCTTATTAAAATGTATAATTATAATATTATACTTAAAACAACAAAGCTACAAAAAAAATGGTTATTTACACATTAACTTGTGATAAAATAAAAAAATTGCTCTTTATTAATACTCTACATTTATTGTTTTAGTATATAAGATAGTAGGGGATACCTTCCTAGCTGTTATCTAAATAGTGCTAAATATCTATAATCTATATATATATGTGTGTGTTTTTTATATTTTGTAATATTGACAATATAGTTAATACATAGT